TGTGTGTTGTATGATGAGGAGCGCTGTGTGTTGTATGATGAGGAGCGCTGTGTGTTGTATGATGAGGAGCGCTGTGTGTTGTATGATGAGGAGCGCTGTGTGTTGTATGATGAGGAGCGCTGTGTGTTGTATGATGAGGAGCGCTGTGTGTTGTATGATGAGGAGCGCTGTGTGTTGTGTGATGATCAGTGTAGATACGTGTGTGTTGTATGATGAGGAGCGCTGTGTGTTGTGTGATGATCAGTGTAGATACGTGTGTGTTGTATGATGAGGAGCGCTGTGTGTTGTATGATGAGGAGCGCTGTGTGTTGTATGATGAGGAGCGATGTGTGTTGTGTGATGATCAGTGCTTAACATTGACACTAATTCTTCACAGAGAGCGTTTGAATACTTCAATCAAGCCGCCAATGCCGGGAACTCTCACGCCATGGCGTTCCTGGGGAAGGTGAGGGGGGCTCAGGGCTCCGGTTGCTGCCTTCCAGTCACTGCTGATCAGATGAGATGATGAGTGCTGTTACTTGTTTGTAGTATAAGGGGGAATTCTCTAATGTATGTAACACTGGGGGCGCACAACCGAGCGCACTCCTTACATAAAGCAGCTCTACATACATGTGGTATGACAGAACAGAGACAACCTCCATGCTGCCACATATACGTCTGATACTAGGAGGTCATATTGCAGATGTCTGTGTGCTCAGCTGTGTGTCTCTTTCAGATGTATTCGGAGGGCAGCGACACGGTGATGCAGAGCAACGAAACCGCTCTCCAGTACTTCAAGAAAGCAGCGGACATGGTGAGGACGGGGCTCTGCGCGTCTGAGGGCGCCATCATCCTGAATTCCATGTAATAAACATACAACATACATGCAGGATACAAAAATAAGATGTGACACACAGACACACACACACAGACACACACACAGACGCATGAAATATTTAATCACGGTATACACAGATTATCAAGTAATGGGGAATCATGGCCGGTAGCAGTCCAGAGTCCACTGTAGAGTAGTTTGTGTGCTGTGGACATGAATGGATAGCAAGGGCTGCAGAACAGGAGAAATCCTGGAGGACAGAAAGATGCTAGGAGGATGGAGGAGGATGGAGGAGGATGGAGGAGGATGGAGGGGAGGAGGATGTAGGAGGAGAGGACGGGAGGAGGATGGAGGAGGATGGAGGGGAGGAGGATGTAGGAGGAGAGGACGGGAGGAGGATGGAGGAGGATGGAGGAGGATGGAGGAGGATGGAGGAGGATGGAGGAGGATGGAGGAGGATGGAGGAGGATGGAGGAGGATGGAGGAGGATGGAGGAGGATGGAGGAGGATGGAGGAGGATGGAGGAGGATGGAGGAGGATGGAGGAGGATGGAGGAGGATGGAGGAGGATGGAGGAGGATGGAGGAGGATGGAGGAGGATGGAGGAGGATGGAGGAGGATGGAGGAGGATGGAGGAGGATGGAGGAGGATGGAGGAGGATGGAGGAGGATGGAGGAGGATGGAGGAGGATGGAGGAGGATGGAGGAGGATGGAGGAGGATGGAGGAGGATGGAGGAGGATGGAGGAGGATGGAGGAGGATGGAGGAGGATGGAGGAGGATGGAGGAGGATGGAGGAGGATGGAGGAGGATGGAGGGGAGGAGGATGTAGGAGGAGAGGACGGGAGGAGGATGGAGGAGAGGACAGGAGGAGGACGGAGGAGAGGACAGGAGGAGGACAGAGGAGAGGAGAGGACAGGAGGACGGAGGAGAGGACAGGAGGACGGAGCAGAGGACAGAAGGAGGACGGAGGAGAGGACAGGAGGAGAGGAGGATGGAGGAGGATGGAGGAGGACAGGAGGAGGAGGATGGAGGCGAGGAGGACAGGAGAATGTAGGAGGACAGGAGGAGGATGGAGTAGAGGAGAATGTAGGAGGACGGGAGGAGGATGGAGGAGAGGACAGGAGGAGAATGTAGGAGGACAGGAGGAGAATGTAGGAGGACGGGAGGAGGATGGAGGAGAGGACAGGAGGAGAATGTAGGAGGACAGGAGGAGAATGTAGGAGGACGGGAGGAGGATGGAGGAGAGGACAGGAGGAGAATGTAGGAGGACAGGAGGAGAATGTAGGAGGACGGGAGGAGGATGGAGGAGAGGACAGGAGGAGAATGTAGGAGGACAGGAGGAGAATGTAGGAGGACGGGAGGAGGATGGAGGAGAGGACAGGAGGAGAATGTAGGAGGACAGGAGGAGAATGTAGGAGGACGGGAGGAGGATGGAGGAGAGGACAGGAGGAGAATGTAGGAGGACAGGAGGAGAATGTAGGAGGACGGGAGGAGGATGGAGGAGAGGACAGGAGGAGAATGTAGGAGGACAGGAGGAGAATGTAGGAGGACGGGAGGAGGATGGAGGAGAGGACAGGAGGAGAATGTAGGAGGACAGGAGGAGAATGTAGGAGGACGGGAGGAGGATGGAGGAGAGGACAGGAGGAGAATGTAGGAGGACAGGAGGAGAATGTAGGAGGACGGGAGGAGGATGGAGGAGAGGACAGGAGGAGGACGGAGGAGAGGACAGGAGGAGGACGGAGGAGAGGAGGAGGATGGAGGAGAGGACGGGAGGAGGATGGAGGAGAGGACGGGAGGAGGATGGAGGAGAGGACGGGAGGAGGATGGAGGAGAGGACGGGAGGAGGATGGAGGAGAGGACGGGAGGAGGATGGAGGAGAGGACGGGAGGAGGATGGAGGACGGGAGGAGGATGGAGGACGGGAGGAGGATGGAGGAGAGGACAGGAGGAGGATGGAGGACGGGAGGAGGATGGAGGACGGGAGGAGGATGGAGGAGAGGACAGGAGGAGGAGGGAGGAGGACGGGAGGAGGATGGAGGAGAGGACAGGAGGAGGATGGAGGAGGACGGGAGGAGGATGGAGGAGAGGACAGGAGGAGGATGGAGGACGGGAGGAGGATGGAGGACGGGAGGAGGGAGGAGGACGGGAGGAGGATGGAGGAGAGGACAGGAGGAGGATGGAGGAGGACGGGAGGAGGATGGAGGAGAGGACAGGAGGAGGATGGAGGACGGGAGGAGGATGGAGGACGGGAGGAGGAAGGAGGACGGGAGGAGGATGGAGGAGAGGAGAGGAGGAGGAGGGAGGAGGACGGGAGGAGGATGGAGGAGAGGACAGGAGGAGGATGGAGGAGGACGGGAGGAGGATGGAGGAGAGGACAGGAGGAGAATGGAGGAGGACGGGAGGAGGATGGAGGAGAGGACAGGAGGAGGATGGAGGAGGACGGGAGGAGGATGGAGGAGAGGACAGGAGGAGGATGGAGGAGGACGGGAGGAGGATGGAGGAGAGGACAGGAGGAGGATGGAGGACGGGAGGAGGATGGAGGACGGGAGGAGGATGGAGGAGAGGACAGGAGGAGGATGGAGGACGGGAGGAGGATGGAGGACGGGAGGAGGATGGAGGACGGGAGGAGGATGGAGGAGAGGACAGGAGGAGGATGGAGGAGGACGGGAGGAGGATGGAGGGGAGGTCCGGTAGGCAGACTGTTCAGGAAATGGCGGCTCTGCAGAAGATTTGGGAATTGCTAAAGGAGAACTTTTTTTTGTTGTTTTGTTATTTCGAAAGATAAAACATTGTCATTGTTGGAACTGTTAACGTGTTAAATAAAAAAAGAAAAGTCTTATTGATCCTGATCGATTCTCTGCAGTAATTATTGATAATTGGACAGTCCCGGCCCATATCATTCATAGGAAGAACTAACGGTGACATGTTGCCCAGTGATTGGTGAGAAGGGGGATGTTCGGTGATCTCCTATCACACGGCAGGCACCGGGTGGCAGCATGTGACCGAATGAACCTGACACAACTTTCTCCTCCTCCTCCAGGGTAATCCGGTAGGGCAGAGCGGCCTGGGCATGGCGTACCTGTACGGCAGAGGGGTCCCTGTGGTGAGTATTGTGTTGGGCTCCTGATAGGTATTTGGATTCCTTGTGATGCAATCCTCAGTGTGATGATGGATGGTGGATGATGGATGGTGGATGATGGATGATGGATGATGGATGGTGGATGGTGGATGATGATGATGATGATGATATCCGCTCTATGTCAGAACTTCCCATTGCTGTCAGTGACTTTTCTTCTGTTCAGGAACGACAAGTCACAATATATTACATAAACCTGTCTGGTTATTGGTCCGTTTTATTCTCCATAATAGGCACACGATCAGGGGTAGCCAAACTCCGGCCCTCCAGCTGTGGTGAAACTACAAATCCCATGATGCATCTCTCTCCAGGAGTCATGTCTGTGCCTGTGAGAATCTTGCAATGCCTCATGGGATTTGTAGTTCCACCCCACAGCTGGCGGGCCGGAGTTTGGCTACCCCTGCGATAGATTGATAGATTTCCGGCATCTGATTGGATGAGAGATCATTTCTGTGTTTGTTTTTATGCTGCAGAGGCAGACCCGTGCTCTCTGTGTGGAAGCAGTGGTCTCTCTACAGAGGTTTGACACACCCCCCATATGTCTCTGTCTGACTCGGGACTTTGGGTCCTCCAATCAGCAGGCAGCATGATGTTTGCTGATTGGAAGACTCGTGTTGTGACTCGGCAGGGGGTGTGCCGTGCCTCTGCAGAGAGACCAGAGCTTCTACGCAGATAAAGGGTCCTTGTTGGCATCGTGCTGGCAGGGGACCGGCTACTCTTGCTGTGGCTGCTTTCTTTCTTAGTTCACATCCGCTGAATACATCTCAGGTGTACAGAGAGTCTCTATACCTGATGGAAGAACCGGATCCTCTGATTGTATTTCACATTTATTAAAGGAGAACTATGAGGTGGGGGGGGGGGGGGGGGTTTT